AGTGTTAGTCCTAGCATCGTAGAATTGTTCGTATTGGGGAGGTGGGGGGGGTGGTTCTATGGAATTAGGTCCGGAGGAGGGAGTAAGGATAGTCGTAAAATCTTAAGACGTAATAAATAATATTATATGATATAATAGCCGGTTCCCCTCCTATTTCGCTGTCGCTCATAGTCGGGCAAAGCAAGTGTGACGCCAAAGCAAGTGTGACGCCTCAAAAAAAGAAAAATTGTATTTTTCTACCACAGCTTTCATAGTATTATATTCAATTGTATGGCTTTTATTATATCTTTAAATAAGACATAGAAATAATAATTGACAAGTAGACTCCTTTCATACATTCTTGCCTCCTTCAAATCAGTTTAATTGAAATACAATAACCAGATTTTACCTCCTATACCAATTACCATGTCAGATCTGATTGACTCAATGGAAGAGAAAGAGCACTTAGATCATGCCCTGGAATGGCTTGATGAAGAGCCTACTGAGAAGGCTAGTACTGCAGTACGAATATTTCATGTCAAAGCATCATCAATCCGAATGTGTCAATTTCGTCAGTGTAATCAAGAGCGTAACACCCATGTTATTCTCAATTGTCATGGTGGAAATAATGTTATTTTGACAGCAGCACAAGAGAAGGCTGTTTTTCGTTACTGCCTTGAGCAGATTGAGATGGGATTCAGAGTGACACCATCAATTATTTATGCAGCCATTTGCAATCTTCGACAAGTGGAGCAACTAGGTCCAACATTATGGGAATGGTTCTGGCTGTGGCTTAAGAGTAATCCAGATCTCCATACTATTAAGACAAAGCCTATCGCCCGTATCTGAATAGTTAGCCATACAGAAGAAGATCTTCAGAACTTTTTTGTTGAGTATCAAAATACTCTCCCAAAATATAGAATCAGGCGAGGAAAATACATCTTCAATATGGATGAGTCTGGGGTATGCATTGGATGTTTCACTGGAGAAACTGTCATTGTTCCAACAGAGGTCAAGAAGCTTCATACGGCAAGTCCTGAGAATAGAAAGTCTGTTACAATTATGGAGACTATATGTGCAGACGGTAGCTGACCATTGTTACCTGTTGTTATCTGTTCGGGAGAAAAGATTATGGAGAACTGGATACAAGATACCTTGACTGATGCTGAGGTAATTGCACTATCAGAAACAGGATATACAAATGAGAATATTGCTCTCAAATGGCTTGATCACTTTATCAAGTATGCTAATGCTGGCCTCAATTAACACTGGTGCATCCTTCCATTCAATGGACATGTCTCTCATTGTACTGATGAGTTTACAATCAAATGCCATGAGAACCATATTGTTCTCTTCCAATTTCCTTCTCATCTGACATATGTCCTACAGCCACTAGATGTTGGAGTGTTTCGGCCATGGAAGCACCATTATTGTAATGTGTTCATAAGGTGCTAATCACATTATCGGTAATAGATACGATAGTTGGCAGGTGGCCTGCTCTTCCAGAGAGGAGGCAAGAGCTGAGACCTAAAGGAGGCTTCGAGGATGTACTGAGGAACAAAGAAGTAACCATTCAACCAAGTATATTGAAATACTGTCTGTCGAAGTCTGCCTTTTCTATCATAGAAACAGGCAGTCTTTAAATACACAAATCTGTTCATGTCTGGCATGAACAAAACTAATCAAAGGTATCAATCGATACACTTTGGTAAAACTAATAAAGTATCAAAGCGATACTTAAAACAAAACATAAAACAAAACTAAGTATCAAACGATACTTAAAACAAACCAAGTATCAAAGCGATACTTAAAGCATAACATAAAACAAAACTAAGTATCAAATGATACTTAAAACAAACCAAGTATCAAAGCGATACTTAAAACAAAACATAAAACAAAACTAAGTATCAAACAATACTTACAACAAACCAAGTATCAAAGCGATACTTAAAGCATAACACAAAACAAAACTAAGTATCAAATGATACTTAAAACAAACCAAGTATCAAAGCGATACTTAAAATAAAACATAAAACAAAACCAATAACCGAGTACCTGTACCGGTTACAATCATAATATGGCAATTCAACATGCACTTCATTCCCTCGATATCGATTATACTATTTCTTCCTTTTTCCATGACTTGAGTTCTATCCGAGAACAAACCTTTGAACCACATTCCATCAAAAACTCCTTCAAGGATTCTGGAATATTTCCTGTTTCTTTTAAGAATGCTTTAAAAAAGATGTGCCACTATGATAGTAAAAGGAAAGAACAGTCAATTCCAGTTGATAGCCAAAATCATGGTAGCCAAGAAATTAAAGATCTAGCTATGGAGGCGTCAATGGATGATATGGAGGAGTTGGAGCTCTCGAAAATTCCCAGCACATACTTTGAGTGCCAGCGAGGCATAGGAGAGTGGGTTGACCGAGCCGAGAGTTTTAGTCCTACTTCTAAGAAGCAATTTCAACAATGGGCCAAGGGTACTGAGGTTATTCTAACTCAGGCACAACTACAGCAGGAACAATACCATACTATTCAAGTCCAAGTTCTTGAGAACCAAAGACTTAAAACCAATTCCCGCCGCGCAGTGCAAAAAGGAGGTATGATTACAGTTGAGGGTACCAGACTTCGAAAGAAGGAAAAGGAGGAGAAGGAAAAAGCTACTGCAATTAAGCATGCAAAGAAGAATATCCAAGTGGCTATAAATAAAGCCAAGAGTGCACTAAACTGTCATGGTATTAATGCTCAGAAGATTGAAAAAGAGAGGAAAAAAAAAGTACAAGAGATTGTAGGTCAGGGTGGGATTGTTCCAGCTGAGTTGCTGATCCCAATTCCTGACCCTGAGAAGAACCCAAGCCCAGATGACCTTGAGTCACTTCAGGCACCACCAGATTTAATGCAAGCTCTGTTGCTGCTACAACCTGCAGGAAGTATTCCTGGTAGTGTGATTGATCCACAATTACAAGAGATTGAGGAGAACATGGAAGCAGTTGGAATTTATAAAACTGGGAGGGAGATTAGTAATACACATTATGGTAATACTAGTATTGGAAGTGAAGGTGAAGATTTGAGTGGTGAATCAGATTCTGATGATTCTTCATCTATATCCACTGACTCAATTATGGAAAATAATGATTTTGTTACTTTAAATTGAAACTTTGTATCCTCTTAAAAAAAATGATGTATCTAATTAATACTAGTATTGTGAAGGCCTGTAAGTGGTAAAAATGAAAAAAGTTCAAAAAGGGTTGAAGCGTCACACTTGCTTTGGCATCACACTTGCTTTGCCCGACTATGAGCGACAGCGAAATAGGAGGGGAACCGGCTATTATATCCATTTCTTGTGCGGTCATATTATTAAAGCCATTACCATAGTAATCTACATTGTATAAGCAGCTGTCCTGAGGCCTCTCATTTTTGTATTGCCCAGACTTGATAGATCTGTTCCGTCTTCCCCCTTTACTCCTTTAAATACAATCTCCCGTTGTTTTTAGATAGTTTACAGCAGGTGCACCATGCAGTACCTTAGTCAGTCCAATGATCGAGCTAGCACGCTAGGACGACTGGATGTATAAGCTTTCCCGGCTACCAAATGCCAAGCCATATCATCTCAGCCCTTCTCCCATCACGCCGATTCCGGAAGGGTAAGCATGAGTCCCCGCCACCAGTCTTTACCCACTAGCGTTGGAACACCCTGCGAGACGGGGCAGCCGCAGAACGACAGCGTGAACACAAGAACTCGGAACTTGACTGTATCCATATTCCTCGACAACCCCCCGAGTACTGTACATAGAAATCAAGTCAAGCAACCACGATGTGTGGGCAAGTATATCCAACGAGCAACCGGAATGGATACAAAACGGACTCGAGTTCAGGCTATTCACGTCCACTTCCCGACCGGGAAAGTCCGCCGACGGAGAACACTATGGAGTGGGTGGATTTCCTCCGCTACGGACATGTCCGCGCGTATAGCGGGAATCCCGTCACCAGCCCCAAGGCTATTCCATGGGGTTAACGGTGGCCAATTAATACTGAGCGTGAGTGATGCTTAAATCGGGGCAAATTCTTCCAGCGTTCTACATATTATTTTGCCCCGACTGCCCCAGGATGCGATGCAGCGTCTCCAATGATGGACGGCGGTCATAGTGCATTCTTCAACAAGCCACACAGGAGCAGCTGGCTTTAATCTATATATACTATTGTGGGTTTCACGCATCCGGGTCGTAGAAATAAACTTTTAGAACGTAAGCCGACCTAGCTTAATTTCCCAAGTTGGAACGTGGGCATGAGAATGAATAGTGTGGGGCTATAAATTAAGGTATTGCTGGCAAAATATAGATCTGACATGGAACGCTATAGACCGATTGGATCCCGTAGAATCAAAATTCTCCGCCAGATTGCTTCCTCCCCAAGAAGATCAGCGCCCGGAAGGGTAGGTTCTTGAGGGAGAAAATCAGTGAAAGCAGGACCAGACTAATAACAGGAAGGATTGAGACTTCCCTGCGGAGTATGATATCATACAACTTAAAATTTAGGCGTAGATAGGAGCCCGCTCAGCGCGCCATAGCTAACCTAGATAGCAAGGTTTGGCAATTTCAACAATCCATCCCCACGGGAGCAACGCTCTGCGGTTTGGGTCATAGTACAGTATGATACTGTGTAAAGGTAGGTTTTGGGCAAGCTAAACCCAGGACCTGAGCCGATCTTGACCAATTTTGCGCACATGCGAAAGCGGGACTATCCTACCACTTTACCTACCGTATACTAAAAAATATTAATTGCTGCTGCTAGGTTATGCACTACGTACTAGTGGTATACTGGATTTGTGTTGTTGTATTGATGTAAGAGGGGGGGTTCTTCACCTTGTGGCACTATGGACTCAATCCAGGCGCATTTTGTGCTGTCGATCTGTGCAGACAGTCGTTGCAACTGGTGTAAATCCCCAACCGATTCAACTTGATAACACTACTTAAAAAGGCATGAGTTATGATACTTCTATGATCTATGATGCCGGAGAATTCAAATTCAACTTGAAAATTTATCCGATCCTTGAAATGCATATGCGCCTTGAAATGAGGTTTCGGGCAGGTGATATTTTTATTATTTGCCTATTTAGCCTATTAGCCAGTCTAACCCCAGCCTCACCAACAACGCAGACCCGCCAAACATCACGACCAAGGAAAAAGTGGGGACAAGTGAGGAAATACGAAAGGGAGAATCAGACCTGGCACCTGTATGAAAAAGGGGCGCCCAGGAAGAGGGGAAAAAGGAAGAAAACATAGAACAAGAAATCCGAGAAAGCGTCAAAAAAGTTTCGAGAAAGCTAGAATGCATCAATCCGGGCTCAGCTACCGCCCCTCCACGCGCTCCCTCTCCCTCTCTCATACTCAGTCACTCCAATTCCCATTACTCCCAGCAGAGGAAAACAAACACACATCATGTAACCCAGAAACATACAAACTCCCCACCGACCTACGCCCGCTTGTTCTAGCAATCGAAGAATTTGCCAGCGGCGTAAAACACAAGATACCCTCATTCCCCCAAGCAGTGCCAGCTGCGATGGCAGACTTTGTGGAAGAACGGCTTTGTATGGTGAACGCGATTTATAAGTCTGTTAGAAGACAAAGGGGAGTCAGTGTACGTGAAGGGGTAAGGATTGTTGGCGAGATAATGGAGGAGATCCGCGATATTGAGGAAGAGGTTGATGAGAGAATCATCGCCTGGGATCAGGGAGAACGGAGGGAAGTTGGAGAGGCTGCGGGGATCATAGGAGGAGGGGGGTGTGAAAGAGTCAGCGGGAGGGTTGCGAGGAACTTGAAGGAGCTCGGGAAGACTGATCATAGGCGGGAGAAGGTTAGAGAGATTTGGGGGAAGATTAGGGGAATAGGGAGGGCTGGAGGCGACCGAGATAAGAAGGTGCTGGTGGAGGATGGTGAAGAAGACAAGGGGGAAGTCAAGGAGAATGACAAAGCAGAAGGGAGGGTCAGGGTCAAAATTGACGAAACTCCTAGAGATGATGACGGCGATCCCTCCGCTGGATTCCAACCGATTATGGAATGGGAGTGGGAGCTTTTCCAGGATGACAATACACATGTTTAGGTTTTGGACTGGTGTTTCTTACGTTTTTTATTGCTACACTCCAGAGCTTTTTTCTTCTAATGCTGCCTCTGGGGAGCGTGAATTGCGCTGCTCACAGGAGATTACTTGCTAAATAATTAGACCCGGTCGTGTCGCTACACCTGCTTCTCGAATTCAAGTTTCTTAGCTTTCTTTTTTTGAACCTGGGCATCTAACTTCACCCATAACATGTGCTCGCGCAATCGTGGGTCGACCAATATGTGACAGCGCATCGACTAAAAGGAAACTCACTAATAAGAGTAGCAGAATCGACTCACATTAGTTTGTCATACAATAAATAATACTAGATGCGCCCGAGCTCCTTGCTGTTGGTAATCTGCCCTCCAATATCAGGTATTTTCCACCAAAAAAGACTCATGAATAAAAATATTAGTCCCTCAAGCGGAAGTAAAAGAGTTCAGCACCTGGGATTCTCACGTGGTCACCCACCGTAATACTAACCAGGCGATGCAATGCTTGTTTACCGCAGAGCGGACGGGATGCGAAACTTTCATTGCTCTATGGCCGAACACGGCATGGTCGCCAAAAATGTTGGTCATGAGTCGATATGATGTAGCTTATCACTCGGTTAAAACTTGAAGGGCCCTTTTGCAAGAGTTGAGAGTTGGTGGGACTCTTCAATTCCTGGAATGCTGGACTCCGGATTCTGGTCAATTATGTGGTCTTGCCCAGGCGGATGCCTGGCAGGGAAAGCTTGTTCAGGCGTGTTAATCCAAAAAAGGCTTTATTCCCTCTCTAAAAACCTTCCGAATCTATCGGGGTGTTGACGTCTTGGAAACTGCGATGCTGTATCATATGGTATTTGCTAAAATGGGCTGCTGTCTTGGTCGGTGTCCATGTTCTCCGACCTCGCGGTTATTCCAGCGCTGTATGATACGGTATGTCACTTAATCATCTACGAGTAAAGCCAACCATCCAAAGTTACCGCGTTTTTGGACTAGCTACTCTATACCTGCGGTTCTTGGTTAACGGTGGCCTTAGATTCACAGAAATCCTGGTAAAATAATTCTCGCTTACCGTACCGGTACTTGACCTCTAGCCGGGATTGTGCACCACTCATCTTAAGCCTTGGTGCAAAGGCTACTTTCTTTTACGAGTACCATCTTTCTCTCTCCCTTTCCTTTTTTTGGGGGTATGCTCGTGCACAGCGCAAATACTGGATACAATTAGGGAAAGGAATCTGAGGGTCCCGCTGGTCAGTTTTGTTGGAATATGTGTCCCCTTCGTTTTTGATTTCCTTGTACCTTTTCCGCTCTTCATAGTTGTCTGATCTTTCTTGAAACTCACTGCTGTACTCTCCTTACTCTTGTTGAAACTGTCCTCCCCTTGCAGCTGAAACCTTCGTTCTCTCTTAGTGAGATCAAATTTTCTCTACGCTTAGTGGGGTGAAAGTTTTCACCCACACTGGTATAGTATTGATGGGAGCAGGACTTTTCATAAAACGCTTGCTTGTCTAGTTAGAAATACATATGCGAATTTGAACGTCTCTTCTTTGCTTAACTAAATTGCCCAATTGAACTTCAACTATCTTCCCTCGCTATATACAATATTTCTCCCTTCCTTCGGCTTGTAAAATAGCAAGTTTCGCTACCATCGCACATCGCTCGCATAATGTCTCTGTTGTGTGGTGTTACGTATGAGTGGATGTTGCGTGTCGGTGGAAAGTAGGGGCTTAGTCACCGGTTGTCAATGAGGATTGGGTCTTTCTTAAAAAAGGGGGGCGTTGTTTTCTTTCTCCGGAAACACCTTAGAAGAAGTGATCATCTTTTCATCTTTGAACAGAACAATCAACCTGCCTTGTATAATCATGCTCTTCATCTCCCTTGATCCCTTTCCATCCTATTTCATCTCAGCTGAAGTTACCTGCAGCTTCCTTCTCTACTCAAAAACTGAATTACCGACATTTCCGTCCTCGTTTTTCTGACATGAGGCATATCCAGCTGGGGAAAAAACAGGAAGAAGACAACTGTTTCTCCCGAGTGACAAACTATGTCTGCACCCGCACATGAACAGGTTTGCTGAGTGTCATACCGTGTTCGGCCATAGAGCAATGAAAGTTTCGCATCCCGTCCGCTCTGCGGTAAACAAGCATTGCATCGCCTGGTTAGTATTACGGTGGGTGACCACGTGAGAATCCCAGGTGCTGAACTCCTGAGGTTCATCTTTTGTCCTGCTTGCTGGACAGATAGTCTGGTTTCTCCCCTTTTTTGTTTGGCCCATTGAGCCTTGTGCGTTCGTGACAGCAGATTTATGGGAGCGCAAAAGTTTGGGGGTTTGCGGGCGTTTTTGCATAGAGGGATCGTTTTTTTCCTATTGGATTCCATTGACTTCGTATGATACAGTAATGCTCAGCTGTCTCAGTCCAAGTTGTCTAGGTTGGAGCTGGCGGTGAGCTTGGCGAGATGTAGTGTTCGAATAATACAGTACCGTACCGTACCTTACACGATAAATACCATACGGGATATTACTGTAAATACACATTAGGAGATACGAGTGCCGCCGATTAATATATTGGTCACATGAGATTCTCCCTTAGAGCAGCATGATAGCAACAACAAAATCGCCATCATCGTCTCTGTAGTTTAGACTTGGATCAACAACCAGACATCCCCAGTTCTACCTTATATCTTCTCTTAATTACTCTGAATACATTTGACATGTGACGTACAAGTGGAGTAGCAGATATTCCACTTGAGTTGCATTGTGCAATCCTCACTCTTTATTTATTTACCAATAAAACCTAGATTGAAATCTCAAAATGCCTTCTTGTTCATCCCAAGTCTGCACGTCGCATATGTCAGAAAGCTAAGGTATATGACAGAGACAAATGAAGTGTATAATAGCTAAAAGTATATAATAAAATAGGAGTGAGCAAGTAATCTGAATGACTTCCAGGACTTGTATGCTGTCCTTCAAAGTCTCAATCGTCCCAGGCAGCCCCAAGTGATACCTGAAGACTCTGAGAAGTCACTTGCACTGAAGAGTGCCTTGCAAGATAACGGGATTATGGGATATCAAAAAACCTTTCCGGAGATAGCAAGAGAATTGGGCATTAAGGCAGCCCGTTCTACAATTGAATATGTGATGCACAATAATCACAATATTTACCGATTTCCTCCCTTGCAGTCTAAACCATCATTGAACATGTATCATAAAGAAGGTAGAATGAACTTTTCATTCTAGACTATTCATATAGATCCCAGGTAAATAATCTCGTTTTTTTTTTACAGTCAAATCCTACTGTCCTTAATTTCAATAATATAGATTCCTCCCACTATTCCATATGAAATGCTGTCAATTCAAAAAATTTCTACAGCAAAACTTGACATATTGTTCCTCATTACTTACAGTAACAAACCAATTCATTTGATTTTGGTCATCTGGAATAGAGAGATATGACTGTATATTGAATTTATTATATTAATACTAATATATTATAATTAGATGTTTTGTGTACTCTGATAAGACTTGGGTTGAGATTAGCTTACCACGCTAGCCTCCAAATATCTCCTGCCCCTATTGTTCAAACCCATTGGACTACAATATGTATCACTTTCATCCTACCAGAGTACGGCTTATGTTTTGGAGGTGTATGACTTATAGGTATCCGAGTCCTTGTTTTATTTAGGAAAAAGAAATAAATCAAGAGAAGGAATATTACAGAAAAATAGTTGCGGAGGAAAACAAGTTGAAGAGATTGAAACAGGATCACAGACAAGCACAGGCAGTTATTGAAGGAACAGAAGAGTTTGAGATTTTGAAGAAGTTAAACGCTATTATACAAATATTGGATCAAGTAGATCCTCTTCCCTTAGGGTATCCATGGCAAAAGCGACGTCCCGCCTGGGAGTTTAAAGAATTGGTGAAAGAGAGGAGAGACAAAAGCAAAGAAGGAATTGATAGGATTTTATACAGAGAGAATATTTTATGTCCCCTGTATTACCCTTTCATGCAGAAAGTGGAAAGGGAAACTGGAAGGGAGATGTGGTTGGTAGAAGATAATGCTTCTGCACACAATATGGCAAAAGAGGTAGGAGAGGAGGAGTGGATCAGCCTTGGGTTACGGTCAGTTGATTGGCCCGCTCAATTTCCGGATCTTAACAAAATAGAACCTCTTTAGAATAATTTAAAAGATTTATAAAAGGAGTACGAGTTTACTGGCCAGAGTCAGACTACAAAGGATGAGGTCAAGATGGCACTGTTACAAGAGTGGGAAAAAATACCTATTGATTTGATCAATCGACACTGCTTGGATTTTCGTAATAAGATTGAACTTGTTATTAAAAACAAAGGTGACAACAACTCCCGTAGATGAAGTCTGTTTTTTCTTTTTTCTTTCCTGTTCCTTGTGTTATCATATTTATTTTATTTTTTGTTCTGTGTTTATTTTCATTGAATTTCATTAAAACTATCATGGAAACATGGGAACAGTCAGTTGTGGTGTTGAGGACAATCTGGTTGCAACATGCTGGTTTAATCCACGTGACCAATATATTAATCAACAGCACTCGTAAAATACCAGAAAACGGTATTCTCATCCTAACTTCTGATTTGTGGTAAGGCTGTCTTCCATCCTATTACGTCAATGTGAAGCAATCTTACCTCCAACCCCTACAATTAACCACAGTCACCATACTGTGTTCATAACTACTTCAAACAAACTCCACTATTGTACCAAGTATCAAAGTTCATAATTTCTTCATGCCATGAGCAGTAAACGTTAAGATCATGCAGGCTTTTCTTGTGTACCAGAACTTTGAGCTTACAGTATATTCAAAACTTACTTTGTTTCTTTTCTGAAATAAGAACAAACAGTTCCTATGATTTTTTAGTATTAGGTAATTAAATGTCACTATTGTGGATGGACTAGAGCTCGCAACACCATAAGACAAATTGCGCATTTAAAACAATATTCTCCCTATCATCACTCCTTCTCCAGTCTAATCTCTGAGAAT